CTCGTGTCTACAACTGAGGATGTTATTCCGCGCCTAATCAGGATTGCTTGGCCTAGGTGTTTGCTGTTGTAGTACGTTTGGAAGCCTGAGACATTCAGAGCTTCCTCCGTATTCAGCCGGGTCTCCTGAAGTGCGATCACATCAGAATCATATATCAGTTGAAGATTGAACCTCTCTGTCGAACGCTCCTGCAGTCCCATCATAGAATGCTAAGGCGTTCTGATTTAGATTGGTTTTTGCGTGCACCAACACGTTTATTGCGTCGTCTTCTACCATATTGTCCTCTTCTCCTTTTGTACCTTGCAAATGCTGCTGCATCGAAATTTTGCACGGACGCACGAACTCCGTAGATCCGGCGAGGATCGAGTTTATCAAATTTGTCAGCCATATTTAATTAAAACACTAGTGAGGGTTCCTTAACGGTCACCCCAGTGGTGCCATCGTGCTGGGGAAGGGGCCAGGTCCTCAACTGTTGTAGCAGGGTAGGCCGTGTGAACTTGAATCCTGCAGGTAAATTGGGCGCCTAGAGAATGTCGTGTTCCCAGGTGTATCTTGTGTAGCCTAATGGGATGTCATCGTGAAGAAAGGTGAAATATTTATAAAAGAACTCCGAGTGTCTGTAATTATTTCTTCTTCCATTCCCGAACCCGCCAGCGTCAGAACAAACGTCGCTCCATTGTATGGCGTCTAGATATCCAAGGCAACGGGATTTATATTGGTTGATGACCTGGTAAGGCGTCTTTCAATCAGTTTCATGTTCCCCGTTTCACTGGTGTAAGATTTATTGTCCTTTCTCTCTCTCTCTCACACAGATATTAGCGGGCAAGTACCTTTTAAGGTCGCTGGAAATACCGCGTATCATGTTTTACGTAGTATCTCCAGAGAAGGGGATGGCCCAGATGCCTATAGTTCAGTGTGTGAGTCCAGCTGCTAGCATTTTTCTTTCTCTTCTTTTCCCTAGCATTACAATCTTTTGAAAACGTTCAGACATATCGTTGTCTAAGTCCAAGTCCTTTTCATAAAAAAAATTGAAAGGTCGACCACTTTCAGACTGCTGCTAGCTAGCCAAGGCTGCTAACAGTCTCCACCTATATTTGTGGTCTGGGTTATTCGTGACTAATATCGTTGTCCCACATGTTCTGTTTTTATAGTGAGACACTTACGGAACATCTCTCGGTTAGCCAGTGTTCTGGGTGGTGATAAATCTCAGTGTCGGGGGAAAACGCCCACTGACCTTCACGTCCGTGGTTCATAAATCTGTATCTTCGGCACATTTCCGCTCAAAATATGTTTGAGAATGCTACAAAAACCACATTTGCATGCAATCATGACATCTAATTGCGTGAAAAAATATTTCACTGCACGTCCCACAGAATAACGATCACAACGATAGTAAAAACATCGCTAGTTCACAGACACACTTTGATTAAAAAATCCAATTAGTAAGAGCTAGGAAAAAACACGTCCTTTCTGTAGGGAGTCAGAACGACCTATTATATATATATATATATATATATATATATATATATATATATATATATATATATATATATATATATATATATATATATATATAGTTGCACATGACATGGTAAAAATACCCTATCTTTTACGCTACTTTAGTTCACGCAAACAAACATATAGTGTGTGTGTGTGTGTGTGTGTGTGTGTGTGTGTGCTTGTTTGAACTAAAATTATACATACCGTTTTTTGCAAAATGTTTAGCCAATCAGAAAAGATAGAAAGGACATATTACCAGAGCCAAAACACCACACCATTTCCACTTTAGTTAAGAAAACAAGATTGTAATAGTTTTCTGTTAGCGTGAACAAATAAAATTAAATCGATGCCTTTATTTGTTAGTTTGGAATGACCAAATGCGAAAGCAAAATAAACAGTTCATGCATATTTTAAAAAAAACAAAACAAAAAAAAAAAAAAAAAAAAAAAAAAAAAAAAAACCATAGGAAAATTGAAGCTGACATCGGAAAATGACTGCATATTTCTACACGGGCTGGGTAAATGCATGCTCTCTGAAAAAAGAAACTTTTGCTGAAACAACTATAATTAGTTCAAGATCCTGTTTCCATTTTGTGCGGTATTTTAGTGCCAGTTCAACAGTATTTGAACGCTAAGCGCTTAACGGTTACTATGACGCCTTTATTCTGTTACTGACATTCTGGTAACCGGTTTATGAGATTGACTTACAAGTGGAGATATGTTATCTTTTAAAGCAAACCTCAGCAAGAGGGATCTTTGAACTGAAGGCCACCAAGCTGGTAGGAAAGGATTCTTACAACCATGGCAAATACACTAAGAAAATTCATCTCCACTGTGTGCATATGTGTTTTTGTAGGGTGGACAAACAGAGAAAAAGACATTTTAAGATTTAATTTACCTCAAGAAATAATTAGAGCGGCGGGCAGACAAGAAGGGACAGCTACATAGACAGACAAACTGACAGGTGTAAAAGACACACAGCTAAATATGTACATAGAGAGAGGGAGATAGATGGCGATGAGAAGTGAGAAGGACAGAAGAAAGAAAGAAAGAAAGAAAGAAAGAAAGAAAGAAAGAAAGAAAGAAAGAAAGAAAGAAAGAAAGAAAGAAAGAAAGAAAGAAAGAAAGAAAGAAAGAAAGAAAGAAAGAAAGAAAGAAAGAAAGAAAGAAAGAAAGAAAGAAAGAAAGAAAGAAAGAAAGAAAGAAAGAAAGAAAGAAAGAAAGAAAGAAAGAAAGAAAGAAAGAAAGAAAGAAAGAAAGAAAGAAAGAAAGAAAGAAAGAAAGAAAGAAAGAAAGAAAGACACACAGAAAGACAGAAAGAGAGATAGAGATAGAGAGAGAGAGAGAGAGAGAGAGAGAGAGAGAGAGAGAGAGAGAGAGGAGACGACGAGGTGCGAAAGAGGGTTAGAATTATAAGCACCATGCAGACAACGGTAGTCTCACTTACTCTCCCAGTGATCTAAATCGCCTCCCTGTCGTACCTGCGCCTTCTACCGATATTGCCAGTAATTGATACAATAAAATTTGCAAATAAAAATCACCAACACGAGGTCTGTAGAAGACTCAGTATTGTAAAGAGCACGTTTATTCAAAGATCAAGACTGTTTACGAAGAGAAATACAATAATATATAAAATATATATGTGACTTAAAATTTTAAACACAGTTGATTATCGAAATAAGGATGTGGAAAAAAAAAACTAATTACATTATACAACTGTCATTAATAACATTAAGTGTAACCGAAAAGAAGTTTGACAAAAAAGTATAACAGATCAATTCTCTATCACATTGAAAATGAAAGAGGATACAAGTATGCTCAGTTAGTATTTCGCTTACTTCAACAATAAAATAAAAATTAATATAATTTACTTAAAAAAAAAAAAAAAAAAGAATTGCTGGCTGCTGTGCAAAACTAGGTCAGAAAACTATAGTTTTATATCACTTAAAATGTTTTATCTGGTTCAGGTAATCATAACATATCGTGTTATTATCTTAGTTATTATTTCATATTTGTGTGCCCTCGACAAAGGTTGTTACGACCGAAACGTTAGACATATCTATCGTGTAAAGTAATGTAAAGGTCCCTTTACCCCGCGTTTAGGCGCATAGGGCATATAGGGAAGGTATATTTGTCGTGCTTTTTCGTATTTATTCTAGAGGTTCTCAGGCGTTTATCATGTGTATGCATAAAAAAATATATTTACACACATGTGTGTGTGTTGCTAGCTCTTGTAATGTGTGTAACTAGAACTAAAATTAAAAAAAAAAAAACCTCCTTGACTTGGTCACTGAATTCATAATCAAATCGTTAAAAAAAAAAAAAAAAAAGCAAAGAATTAGAAACATCAGTATAAACATAGTTATAATTTGCTTAACTTTCAACAAATTGTGTCCCACTTGAAATTACTTTAAAAATCGCTCATAAATTATTAGTTTCAAATAGAATGGCTTTAATAGTTTAGACTCTACAAACGCAGATTTAGTTTCAACCCAAATCTGTGTGGCAATAATTTGCTTACACATGTCTGTGGACTTATCTTTTATTAATTGTTCAAAAACAATTAGTTTGAAATTACTCATAAAAACACACAAACGTTTTCTTCATTTATTATGTGTTTCTTGATATGTGTTCTTATTTGCCAATTTGATAATTTTTATTTATGGCGACAATAACAAATATATAGAAATAACACATAAGTCTAATTTAAAAAAAAAAAAAAAAAAAAAAACGGATAACATAATAACAAGAGAAATTACCAATTGTTTCAGTGTAAAAGATGTTAGAATGTGAAGACTGACTTCATTGCGTCGGGTTTTATCCCAAATTGCTCGGTCTTTCTCCTCAGAGCGGCCAGTCACCCTCTAGAACGTTATCCAAATCAAAAACTGGGTAGCTTCAGCAACAACTCTGCCAATCTACTAACACATGCAAGTCAACCGAAATCGAACCCACAAACTTCAAAACACGAGGCTAAGGTTAACCACTTTGTCAGGGAGATCCTCCATCACAACTACACTAAAAGCCCCACCACTTTAAGAAAAGTCGAAGGTCGGAGAACGTATTGTAGGAAAATAAAAAATTAAATGAAGACACATACAAACAGCAGTCTGCCACAAATATATAGTCAAAGTGACTGATTCAAAGTATTTGAAATTTATTACGGCCCACATCCATTGGGGAGACAACGTTTGAGAATGTATTGCATTTTTGACACACCTAGTAACGAAATATAATTAATAACATTGCGAGCAATGCTCAGAAGATATGCGAACTGAATAAGAAATAAAGGTAAAACCTAACGCTAAAATACGAAGAAAAAAAACAACTAAAACATATTAGTTCATGAAACAATTACAAAGCTTAAAGTTAAAGCACTGAGAAATTAACGCAACACAACCCAGGTTAAAAATAAGACAATCTCTAGTAAGTGGAAATAAAGTAACTGCAGAAACACAAGTAAAAGAAAGTTAAGCAAATTGTTATCCAGCCTGCTCGCACCTTTGCATCATTACCGCCATTTTTATTTCCGCTGGGTCCTTGTATGGTCTGAAAGCCACCACTTCCTGTTGTAGGGGAGACAGCGTTTATACTTCCGCCTCCGGATGTGCCAGGAACGACGGTGACGTCTGCTGAGGCAACCTCCGTCCAGAACAAGGTTTTCTGCTGCACGATCGTTGCACTGTGAAATAAAGTTAGAGTGTTATGTCATAAAGCAGATCCTTTGCAGAACCTCGCCCTCAAATCCAGCAAAACCGTCTCTTTACACTGGTATGTGGATTATTTTACATTTTTAAATCCATAGGTAAGCTGACAAGCCTGATTTTGTATGTGGTTTCTTAGTGGAAGAACCGGTAAAACGTTAAGAAGGTTTCGCCATATACAGTACATTTATGGAATGCCGTGGACAGATTAAATAGCGTTTAACAATCTTGAAAAAAAATTAAAGTCAGCTGATTGACTTGAAACAAATTACAGTAAGCTGACTGACTTGAAAGACATTACAGTAAGCTGATTGACTTGAAAGAAATTACAGTAAGCTGACTGACTTGAAAGAAATTACAGTGAGCTGACTTGAAAGAAATTATAGTAAGCTGACTGACTTGAAAGAAATTACAGTAAGTTGACTGACTTGAAAGAAATTAAACTGACTGACTTGAAAGAAATTACAGTAAGCTGACTGACTTGAAAGAAAATAACAGTAAACTGACTGACATGAAAGAAATTACAGTAAGCTGACTGACGTAAAAGAAATTACAGTAAGCTGACTGACTTGAAAGAAATTAAACTGACTGACTTGAAAGAAATTACAGTAAGCTGACTGACTTGAAAGAAATTTCAGTGAGCTGACTGACTTGAAAGAAGTTAAGCTGACTTACTTGAAAGAAATTAAGGTAAGCTGACTGACTTGAAAGAAATTAAACTGACTGACTTGAAAGAAATTACAGTAAGCTGACTGACTTGAAAGAAATTACAGTAAGCTGACTGACTTGAAAGAAATTAAACTGACTGACTTGAAAGAAATTACAGTAAGCTGACTGACTTGAAAGAAGGTAAGCTGACTTGAAAGAAATTAAGGTAAGCTGACTGACTTGAAAGAAATTAAACTGACTGAATTAAAAGAAATTAAATGAAACTCACTGACTTGAAAGAAATTACAGTAAGCTGACTGACTTGACAGAAATTAAACTGACTGACTTGAAAGAAATTACAGTAAGCTGACTGACTTGAGAGAAATTAAGTTGACTGACTTGAAAGAAATTACAGTAAGCTGACTGACTTGACAGAAATCAAACTGACTGACTTGAAAGAAATTACAGTAAGCTGACTGACTTGAAAGAAATTAAGTTGACTGACTTGAAAGAAATTACAGTAAGCTGACTTCCTACTTTAGAAGGGGAAAAAACCACAGTAACTTGAGAATATTTTGGCACTCCGTGAAAAAGGATAAAAACTGAAATGTTTTGTTACAACAGGAAAGTTGGTGTTAAAAAAGTCAAGGAAGATCCGAAAAGCAGGATTTCCTAGACCTCATGGCATGGACAAATATCTGTATCAGAATTGATTGGCAGTACCTGAGACAGAAAGCTGTGCATGGACATGATGACAAACGCGACACGGAATAGTTTATAAGAAGTCTCTTCCTTTTTTTAGCTAGTACAACAAGGCTTGTTCTCAGTAATTACTGAGAATTTTTTTCTCCAAAATGTCTAGAGGTTTGAGTATTGAACACTGGATCAACATCATGGCACACGGGTAGTAACCCATAAGTGCTCCGTTCTTCTTCTATCTCAAGTCTGAGTCCGAAGAAGCTCAGCACAGTGCACAGGCTCTGTAGCACCGGTGGGGATCCTGAAATACTTTGGGTATATTTTTTAACTCTGAATTTTGCACGGGCTGAGCCGTTAGGCTACTCTTTTTGATTGCCAACTGCCAAAGGATTTTTAACGTGCGCAACACGTTAAACGGGCGTCTGATCTCACTACCCAGAGACCAGGGGGAATAACTATAATCCAAGTCCATGTGAAAAAATCCAAGCTATTACCGGGGATTGAATCCGGAACCTCTAGCACTCGAGATGGACACCATGCATCGAGACCACGCAGCCACCTCAAAATGTCTAGATAAATCCAGAAAAATAATTAACACTGTCGTACATCACACACTCAGTTATGCTGCTAACACGAACAACTCTTCTTCTTCATCTTCTTCGGTTTGGGGACGTCAGCAGCATGGCCCGTCAGATGGAGCCGGTCTTGATCAGACACAGTATTAAGAATGAAGATGGTTGCAGTAAAATTTGAAATATAAAAATGATCCACTTACACAAACTGCAAAGGTGCGGCTGCAAGACCAGCAGGCGCAGTCCATTGTATGATAACATTTTTCTTAGGGGCGGAGTTTGTATGGGTCATTCCTTGTCCCTGTGTAAAATAGGAAAGAAACGTACTTGAGCATGTTTACATTAAATATGTTTACATTTAATGGCTAAAATAAATCAATACATTGCACAGTTTATTGCCAGGCATATCTGGCTCTATCTCATCGGGTGAGTAACTACAGAGTTACATCAACATAAAACAAAGCATAAAACTGAAAAATTCAACTGAAATGCGAATATTTTCTTCAGATACATTGTGTCTGTTTTATGGCCGCCGGAAGCTCACCGTAGTACCATGACTTACCATGGTAACTTCAAATTTACGATAAATTCCGTCTGCTTACAAAGGAGGGGGTTGTTGATTTTTATTGTTAAAGCTTTGGCGATTCTCAAAAGTCACCAGTTCGGAGTGTGGTAAACCACACGGAAAGCACTGTCTGTGTCAATTATGTGTCAGGAATTAAGAAGATGACGTCCTATGGAAGAAGCGGGTTCTTTCCTCATTACTGGTCTCGACACCCTAGAAGAATCACCGAGCTTCACATTTGGGTATGTGGTCTGCCACTCTATTTCCAAGCTGTCTCTCCGTTCGACCGATGTAAGTCAACTAGCACTTACATGTAAATTGGTCAATACATTTAGATTTGGTGTACGGAGAAAGGAGAACTTTTAAAAAATCGCCGAAGCTTTAACAATAAAAACCAACATCTCCCGTAACAAATGTCTCAAGGTGTAGATGCTAACTGTTCCCGTAGCACATTGATTATTCACACGTCGTTCTCTTCTCTCTCATACGCATGTTCTTGTCTGATCCGTACCTAATTCCTCGTTCACATATTCTTACACATGTTTGTTTTATCAAACCTTGTATCTTCTAACAGCAATCGTTCATAAATGGTCTACTCAATGTCTTCCTTGTCCAGTACCAGTGTTGCTGTTGCTATCGTTTTTTGTGTGTGTGCGAGGAAGGCGTCATTGAAATTTCAAGCTCAATGGATTTGTACTGAGTTATTGAAACGACGGACTGAATCTAAACACTTCTCATCTTTCCTCGTTTTAATGAACTGATGGAAATTAAGAAATGTTAAAATATTGAAATTGCAGTTAAAATTCAATCTAATTTGGATTTTATGTCGGAGGAGTGCAATCTCTATTTCCAAATGATGGCTCGTCACGGAAGGTAACAAGAAATCCTTTTATTATTAACGTTGATTTACTGCAACAGTCTATTCAAGCGAAGCAGATGAACTGAAGTGTAATCCAAGGGCTAACGACGATCTCGCATGTTTTATCGTGGATGTTTTTTTAGTGCAGCATTTTGCAATGTATTCTCACGTGACCAAGTTAGCTGTAAATGTTTGTTTTCCCCTTCCGCTCAATTGCCTCCACATACTTTTCTGAATCCAGATTCTCAGCTTTAACAGTCACTTCCGGTTAAAATGGACGCTAGGCGGCGGCACTGTTCGAAGCGGAGGCACATTTTTACTACTGCCAGACGGTGGCCGATGCATTTTTGCTCCATTTGTAGACTGGATATAGTTTCTTCGCCCAGCTTCTGAGTTGAATGCATGGCGTGACACTGTGAGCTGCTGATTTCATTTAGAATGTTTTTTCGACTGTGACCTTCGTGGTAGTGTGAATTGTAGATTCAGAAAATGGAGCGATGCCTGTCGTGCAATGTTGGTGGTGCCCGTATGTGATTCAAATTGATCGCGTGGGCAACTGCTGATCTGTTGGCGACTTCTGCTATCATCAATGATGAACTGCATTTCTAATGTTGGACTGTTTGTGTTAGCACTTCGGATGGCTACCGTATGCTTTAATGCGAGTGTATGTTAGATATGCTGAGACAGCAGTCTGTCAATCTTTCCACAAGAGACTGTGATAAACATTCTGTGTGTTTTTCGTTGGCACAGGAGCGGAGCAAAAATGGGGTGACCCGTTTGCTATGAAGCTGAAACTAAGACTACCAGACTACCAGTCACAAAAACACAACATCGCTGCCAGCTTTTGTGGAGAGTGATCTTAGTTGTGCCTTCTCAATATCAGATCACAAATAGCAGATATCATCAAGATAAAAGAGTGTCGACTAGCACATTGATATCTGAACACTAAATTACCAGTTGTTGGTGATTGTTTCTGTTATGTTATTTGACACATTGATTTTTTAAGGATTGTTCCTCCTTTCCCCAGTTCTTGTTAACAGTACTTAGGGGTTTTCTTTTCGCCTTTCTCTTTTTAATAACATTTTTGTTTAAAGTTTCGAGGGCGGAGGTGGAGAGGGCGTGTAGTCTTATCATATATTCAAGTGAGCGCTACCTGAAAAAGATTGAAAACAATAGGTCTATGCAAATAAAAGTCTAGCAATTTGTGTTTGTGTATGGTAGATCCGCCCCTTTCGCGAAAAAGGCGCTTTACTGTATTTGAAACTTATGTATTCTGAGCAGATGAAAAAAAAATAATAATATTAACCTAAATAATAAAACTATGAATAGGGAAAGTGGACATAAAATGACACATGGAAAAGTATTTCATATAATTCTATAATTTTAACATCGTTTTGTTTTATTTATGTTATTTCCCTTCGAACAATTGAGCCTTGTTGTCATAGCTGTGTATGTTATATAATTCTGTGATTTCACCATTGGTTTGTTTCATTTTCTGACAAAATACTTTAATACTGTAAGGTTGTTTTTTTAGCATTTGCTTTTTGTATTACTGTTGTATTTTGTTTCTTACTGTTTACTTACGAAGGATTGTCGCTGCCGTGTCCTGTTTGTTTATTTTCATTGTGTTTTACAAAGCTAGCGCTTACACATAATTAAAAAAAAAAAAAATTTCAAACTGGCGTTACATGTATACATACGGACACAGACTTTATAGCCTTAACATGAGTTAACGAATAAACTGTGAAATAAAGCACATTTAACTCACATTACATCTGAGAGCGCCAAAGTTGTTCTGTTGAAACAGTCCATCGACAAACACGCCGTTCTGTCGTGCACGCATGAAAAACCCCTTGAAGTCAACTGTTCCGCCCAGGGTTACTGGAGTGTAAATACAGTTATTTTTTTTTGTATCGTCAAATCAACATCAGCAGTAGCAGCAGAAAAAACTACTACAGTTACAATACAATAATTATTAGCACTACCACCACTACCAATGCTACTGCTACTACTACTATTTCTTCTGCTGTTGCTTCTACTACTACTACTATTACTCTTACTACTACTACTACTACTACAACTACTACTACTACTACTACTACTACTACTACTACTACTACTACTACTACTACTACTACTACTACTACTACTACTACTACTACTTCTACTTCTACTTCTTCTACTTCTACTACTACTACTACTACTACAATTACTACTACTAGTACTAATGGTGCTGCTACAACCACAACAATAACAACGCCATCAACAACAATTACTACTACTTGTACTACTGGTGCTGCTACAACAACAACAATAAGAACGCCAACAACAACAATTACTACTACTAGTAGTACTGGTGCTGCTACAACCACAACAATAACAACGCCAACAACAACAATTACAGCTACTAGTACTACTAGTGCTGCTACAATAACAACAATTACAACGCCAACAACAACAATTACTCCTACTAGTACTACTTGTGCTGCTCCAGCACAACAATACCAACGCCAACAACAACAATTACAACTACTAGTACTACTAGTGCTGCTACAACAACAACAATATTAACGCAAACAACAACAATTACTACTACTAGTAGTACTGGTGCTGCTACAACAACAACAATATTAACGCAAACAACAACAATTACTACTACCAGTACTACTGGTGCCGCTACAACAACAACAATATTAACGCAAACAACAACAATTACGACTACTAGTACTACTGGTGCCGCTACAACAACAACTATAACAACGCCAACAACAACAATTACTACTACTACTGACTTTGCTTAGCCGCCTCTATACAGGCTGAAAATAGTCATCCATTTGAGACAGGTTTGGGACAGAGGGATAGAAAAGTGTAGGGCTAGCGCCGCACCTCAGTTCAGTCCTGCTTTAATTAGAGAGTGTCCATCGTATGAAACTCTAAGCTCCACAAATTGTCCAAGATTAAGTCCACTGATGTCATTGTGAACTCCAAATATGACTCTATGAGCACCACATATTTCACATAAACCTCATTTGATGGTAGGTACTCTATAAAAATAATTTGTCTATAATCATTCTAATTTAGAAATATAGCTTGGTCGGCGATCTAAAGGGCCTATTTCATGCGATCTTCAATTCCGGATGATGTTCAAGAGTCGTTACTATTTTTTGCTAGTTGTTTTTCACAACTTATCTAAAAACGCCAGGCGTACGATCCCTAATCCAGGAGCACGATTAGCATAATGCATTTCTGTTCTGTGTTCGTAAAAACTGATAGTTTGCACTCTTTCTTCACCCTCCTCCTCTTGTTGCTGTGTTAGAGTGAATGTTTGTACGTTTATTTGAAAGAGAACATTTGGTATCATTTGGGTGTCGAGTTAGGGCTTCTAGCAAATATGCCTAATTAAACCAGGTGTCGTATTGGCAGTACAATCTCTCATAAATCTTTTGATGTTGTCATCAAATAATAACAGATTAGCTTCTTAACAGATTGAACCACTGAAAAAATATTTGGGGACAGTCATAGAATGACACGTACCTGTAATTTGTTGACCGGAACCAACGGACGTTGCTGAAGCTGTAATTTTAAAAGGAGACACGCTGTTCTGTGGTTGTGCTCCGTGAGAGGGCATCAGAGAATCACATGCTTCGTCGGGTGCTCCTGAACTAAAGCCATGTACATGAACAATCAATAAGCTGGCCACCAGTGTCAGGAATATTCTGAAATATAAGTTTGTAAGGCATTATATAACAATAACATTTAATAACAGTGAGAATGCTTATGTGTTAGCATTATTAACCTTGGGTTCACCATTGATCACAGGCATTATGAGGGTTAATAGATTGAAATGGCTGAGATGTTTACAAAGAATGATAGACGACCCAACAAAAAGGGGGGAGGGGGCGCTGCTGTGTACACACGGAAGGTAATGGCTGTAGACCACGAGACAGACCAAGAAGAAGTTTACGAGATAACATGCAGGGCAGACTTATCAACACTTGGGGGTCATCAACTGAAATCAGAAGACCAGTTACAGCGGTGAAAAGAGATAAATAAAGGCGAGTGCTATGAACCTCAAGGGCTCGGAATGTTGACAAAGATACCCTGGGTTGGTTACACATGACATAGTTTGTTTAACATGTGCCGAGCTACTGAAGAGGCGTTCAAAGCATTTATGGGTCAGTACAGGTTGTTGTGCTGAAAGTCCGTCCTCACTCTTGTGTAATTAAAATCGGCTTTACCGCAGTAGATTGTGTTGTTAGTTTAACAGCGGCAATAGTACAACGGATAACAAACTAACAGGCAAACAGACTGGCTGGTTCTGTCACACTTAGCGATAAATTGATGCATGACAAGCAAGATATTGTAAGAGTCCTTTGGGAGCGAGTGAGCAGATCATTACGGTCTGATGAGAATTGTATTGTGAGAAGTGACAAGGAGAATCTGGCGGAAGCTTAATCCTCAGGGGAGGGGCGAGGCGGACATACAATCTTACTGTTGATGGTACCATTGAACCTGAAACCCTACGCGTGCTGCTAAAGATGCGAATGGGACGCTTAGGGGAATGTCCCTAGTGCTTTGATATCGATTATCAAATCAACATTCAATATAACAAGCCTGAATTCGATTACATCAGCATTACGACAGTGCATATCGAGTGCATATTATTAACATAAAACTACAGAGCAAGTAGCATATTCTGGAAACGTCACAAGAAGAATTTTGCGTTGAATCCGCACAGAGCAGATGTTTAAAACTGACGCTGGCTCTTTAGTCAACCTTGACTAAAATGGTTATCAGGAAATGCTTTGGAAAGTAAACTTGACCCCATTCCTTCTTGCTGCATCATAAAGACATATTGTTTCTATTCTTTTGTCCAGTGAAAAAGACTGGTCGAAACGTTTCCTTAGAATTTATGTGCTTTCTTTCGATCCATTGATCCTTCTTGTTATAGTTTGTTTTGTCTAAAGATGGTAGATGTAAATAATCACAACACCAACCCAAACTGGACTACAGGTCACTTTATAACCGTTCAGTGGTGCTCCAATATAACCGTGCCAAATAGTTATACGGTTGAACGGGGTTTCCGGGATTTGTACCGGTTTGATTCTTTTCCTTGAGATGTTAAACCTGCAAACTGCAATCATGGATGGGACAAACTTGAAACACACACACACACACACACACACACACACATATATATTGAAACAGCGGATAGCCAAAAGATAAACTACTATACCGATTTAGCTGCAAAGGGAAGTAAGTATTCCTCTTTATGTTATCAGCACCAAACATAGACAATGAATAGGGCACTACAACAGAAAATAACAGCATGTCAAATGCGCCGTCTCCGTTAGGTCAATAACAACACATAAAAGACAGGGTTACGAATACCAGCATTAGAGAGAAAGTTGCAATAAGACCATGTCTAGATTATAATGAGAGGCAAAGAATGAAATGGTTCGGTCATCTAGTCAGAATGCAGCCAGACTAAACTGCATATGAGACCTTTTACAGCAGCAAATCTGAGAGGAAGGCTTAGGAAAGAGGTGGATAAATGGTGTAGCTAAAACCTGCTAAGCCACCCGAGAAGTGTAAGACAAAGCCACGATAGTGAGCTACAACCTGCTAACAGTAAGGCGACAACAGTCCAAGAAGGGAAGTAGGTACATGCTTGTTCAAAAAATTTAGTTTCGTATCCTTTACAAGAATTTGCAGAACCAACCCCGGCATTTTTTTGCTGCTGTGGTTTTTTACAGGCAAATTTACGTCCAGTAGTTTGCCGTTGCTTACTGGACGGGGGCTTTCTCCACAACACCGTCGAAACCAACGCAAGGCCCGCAGCTGCGATCGAACCCGACACCCCGGCATTACGAAGCTCGTTAGTAACAGCTAAGTCACAGACGCTGACATCGCTTGAGGGGACGGAAATAGCCGCTCATGGGGAAAGGCGTTGATTGCTAACTAGGCAAAATTTAATTTATTTCAGTTTAATCTGATCCTACTATTAAGTGGCTTACTTCCGGCTTTGTCAGATGTTAATGTTAAATCGTGACTCTAACGATATGGTACATTAATTTACATATGTCAAGTAACTCACCATGTCATGTGTTAAAATATTCGGTCATATATTTGGTTAAACAAAAAAAAGAAAGAAAGCTCTTAAGTAAAAGTAAACTAAAGGACCTTTTCCCACGCCTTCGGGCGTATGGACATTCAGGGCCAGACCTATAATTTTATAGGTCAATCGGAATTTGGTGGCTGAGGCCCACACACGACAACCATTTAGAGTCATATAATAAAGTTTTTTGCAGAACATTTGCTTTGTGCGAGCCATAGATATTCATGCAAAGGGCCGCATAGGGTTCACGGGCCGCCAGTTTGACATTTGTGGTTGATAGTGTATGCAGGGCTGAATGTGGACTTGATGAAGCCAAAAGCTATAGTTGTTCAGACCGTTCAGGTATAATGCAACCTACTAGACGTAAAATTTACCTCGATAAATAAGCAACAGACAAAACAAAAAATGCTGGAGTTGGTCTTGTAAAGGATCAGTAACTAACTTCCGAATAACGTAGGTTAGATGAAAAGAAGAACTGAGCATAAAATAATACGTAATCTGTAAAAACGTATAGTGAGTTCACTGGTACTGAAAGTGTAACCAAACAGAAAGAATAAGCTTCTACGTTATTACAACTTAAAACAGGTACCAGGAAATGTACTGAGAAGTAAAGGCGGTCAGTGTGATGTTGATCAAATCACCCATCAAGTGGCGATTGGTCTGTGAAAATATGGGCGAGCAGCAGATGTTGGCGGCACCACTTTGAATGAAAAAAGTCCTTTCATTTTTTTACTGAATAAAAGAAAGTAAAATTCGTCATTAATGTATCATCGTATTTTGGGTACAGTAATAACAACAGGACAAGAGAGGGAAACAGGCGACGACAACAACAAGAAAAACAACATTAACACCAGCAAGAACAACAACATCAACAGCAAGAATGACAGCACGCTTAAACACAAATTCTACAGAATCAATATCAAGCTCACCTGAGACCAGCCATCCTGATTTGCTGTTGAAGCTTCTAAACTAGTAAATCATTTGACCACACCTGTAAAATACTCAGCGACTAGTCAAATCCGTGAAGTTTGATGAATGTTCCGTCTGCCGAGGGTAATTACAAGCCTACCTTTTCTTGCCTTAATCTTCAGATGATCATGACGTGTCTTACCTGGCTTCCAAGGGTTCTCACAGGGTATTAAAACATGTCCTTACTGCCTCTATAAACAATCACCTGAGGCGGCCAATGACGAAGGAGTTTTGAGCCTAACGATGTAGAGCCACATGGCTACTCCAGTCACCGCGGCTTGTGTATGTTGGGATTTAAAAAAAAAAAAACAGAAATGGATTTTAATACTAATAATCTACGCTACTTTAAAATAATCTGTCATCTCATTCTGTGTCTTCGAGGTTCGAGCTTTCTGCGCGGTGATCTTTCGTATCTGACGCAGAAGTAGGATCTGTGTTGCATTTGCCTCTTCTTGTATTTTTTTTTTTTTTTAGCTTGAAATGTAAACACCACACAGTGTGCAAATTTATATTTTTTCCTTCTTCTTCGTTTGTTCGGTCGGAGATAGTCATTGGCGATCAAGACTGACTGACATCAACCCCACCAGGCCCTCACAACAAACGATAAACACCCGGTGACACAAAGTGCCGCTATTCAGATGCAAAACACCCGGGTACAAGTCTCAGAAAACCCCTTTAACCGTTAGATTTATATTAAAGCCTCCAACTACAGCCTAAGTGGTGTTTTAAAAGAAAAGAAAATTGCGTTCCATTTTGGGGCCAGTAGGCGAGCAAGACTCACCTACAGCTATCTGTTTATGGGAAAACAAGAAAAGAGTCACTGCCTCCCCATACGCATGTCATAAGAGTCGGCTAACTGGGTGCTTTCTTCGAAGTCGAATTGCATCTGCCTGAGAGGCAAGTAACTAACAATCTGCATACAAGTAAGTCAGAATAAGACTAATGTCCAGAGATGGACAAACAACCAGAACTTTCCGTGAAGTTTACACCCAGTTAACGCGAAGAAGAAGAAGAAAAGTGATTTGTTTCTCTATCTTCATCTACTTCCTATGCCTCTAACGTTCTCACATAAAACTTCTTTTTTAAATTTGTTTTTAAGAAAGTGGACATCAGTTTTGTTTTTATTTCCCTTATTACTATAGCTGTGCCCTTATTGTCATTGCTTTTCCCTTACTGGTATAGCTTTTCCCTCATTGCCATAGCTCTCACCTTATTGCTGTGGCTTTACCTTATTGTTAAAGCTGTTCCCTTATTGTCATAGCTGTTGCAGTCATTGCTTTAACTTTCCGCGTATTGCTATAGCTGTTCCTTTATTGTCAAAGCTTTTTCCTTATTGCCATAGCTGTCCCCTTATTGTCATAGCTAATTTTTTCTTATTGCTATAGCTTTTCCCTTATTGCCATATCTGTTCCCTTATTGTCATAGCTTTTCCCTTTATTGCTGTTGATTTTCCCTTATTGACATAGTTATTTCTCCTTACTGTCATAGCTGTTCCCTTATTGTCATAGCTGTTCCCTTATTGCCATAGCTGTCTGCTTATT